TTAATTTCAAAAAATATTTTTGAATATTGAAATAATGGGCACGTTTAAAAGATGCGAGGTAGCTATTTCAGGATACCTCTGTCCAGAAGTACCCTCAAATTGATTTGCCAAGCATAAGCAAGTGGATGATGTTGATTTTTTACCTCACTTACAATGCAAATTGCAAGGAGAAACTCAGTACCTTGGCAGCAAATAAACCATTTTCATTACTGTTTTCTAAAAACAGGGCAGTTCTGGCATGTATCGGATTTGCATTTAGACCCTACTTACCACATCACTGATGATCATACCAAAGTTTGTTCTTCTTCCAACGGGGCTAATGCCTCCAACCCTGGGCCTTTTGGAGATTTTTTGTGTGATTCTCCGTATCAACTTATTTTATCAGCCTTTAAATACATGAAAGACTCTGAACAACAAGCTTCCTTCATGATATGGACAGGGTAAGTAATCAAGACAGTCAAAGTAATCAAGTCAGTCAATAGCCACCAAGCTAGTGAAATAGTTTGAATAACTGGAAGACCATGGTGCACTGGTTTAAAATACTCAAGTATTTGTTTTGCACACAGCAATACATTTGAGTTTGATGCTTTTGGTAATGCTGCTTCTATCTGCTTCTCTTGCGTTATCTGAATTACTAACAATTAGGATTATTAATCGCGCTTAACTCAAGGGACTAATGAAAAACAAATGAACTAGATTAAAATATTCATGATTAATTGCAATTTTAGTTGCATTGTTAAAGAAGAATAGAATACCAATTTAATTTTATTGTAAATATTTTGGGTGTTTTTCTGCATTTTAAAATATCTTGATTTCAGTTATAGCACACAATATAAGATGTACAGTGCTCACTTTATATTATTTTTATTATAAATATTTGTATTAAAAGATAAACAAAAATTAATGTTTCTAATCAGCTCATATAATAACTAGTACATACTTTTTATAATTAAAGTGAAATTTTACAAATATAGAATTTTTTTACATAGCTGTACTCAAAAAAACAAACAAAAACACTGTAATACAGGCAGTCCCCGGGTTACGTACAAGATAGGGACTGTAGGTTTGTTCTTAAGTTGAATCTGTATGTAAGTTGGAACTGGCATCCAGATTCAGACACTGCTCAAACTGACCGCCAGTTCTGACTTACATACAGAATCAACTTAAGAACCCCAGGCGTCCCCAAGTCAGCTGCTGCTGAAACTGATCAGCAGCTGATTCCAGGAAGCCCAGGGCAGAGCTGCTCTGCCCGGCTTCCTGGAGTCAGCTGTAGATCTCAGCAGCTGCTGACTTGGGGATACCTCGGGTAGAGCAGCTGGGGTGCTGCCGGGTTGGTCCAGTAGCACCGCTCCTCGGCACTGTGGGACCAACCCGGCATTCCCCCAGCTGCTCTGCCCCAGGCGTCCTGATTCAGCTGTTGCTGAAACTGACCAGCGGCTGACTCCAGGAAGTCTGGGGCAGAGAAGCTGGGGTGCTGCTGGGTTGGTCCAGTAGCGCCGAGGAGCGGCGCTGC